AGTACCAAACTTTCGCCAAACGCTTGGTAGTCAGGACAGATCAAACATCTGTTGCAGGTCCGGCGTATGATATGGTCGGTAGATACAACCTCACGAAAACTTCCGATTGGGTAAAATTCCCAGTGGGTGAGAGAGAGAAACATTCCATAAAGGTCAAATTCCAGAAATTCCAAATTATGTAAACGTTAACTTCACTTTTTGTACACTGGATTTTAAGGACATGCTGATAGGGATAGCTAGAGTAATTCTGATAATGACCTAAAGTACTTAAACATTTAAAAAATCGGTGTGGTAAATAGTACATCGTTTGAAAACAATTGTTAAATGATTAAAGCGTTAAATGATTAAGCGTTCGCATAACCGCACGACACGAAAATCTCGAAGGTATTGCGCTTAGCAATGGCTTGTGAATCCCATGAAGCCCTTCTGAAGGTTGTCGTTCCACCCGCGCCTTTGTCTGTTCTTGAGTTCATCTCGAGCCTTCTACAAGACAGCTCCGCATTCTTGCGTCTTAGGACGGGAGCCACTAAGAACTATTTGCTTCAAAACACCGTGTTTTCACGCAAATTTACGCAAAGAGTACTCAATTTTTCGAAAAATTGTGCATGACCTTATTTTCAAATTTATCTTTAAGGATCAGATTTCTTTAACCCATTAAGGAACAAGCATTGGAATATTAGAAGAGGGTAAATCAATTATCTTGACATTAGACAGTTTGAATAAAGATTAACATTGCATTTTTACTTTCTCCGTATGGAGTAGAGAGAAATGTATGTAATACTGCGTTAAAAACGGCGAATTTCGACAGAAAATCTCTTGTAACAGGGTAACGAAAAAGCGAATCAATCCAGTTGCTAAATTTAGAAAAACTGTGAGATGGTCAGAATCCATGATTTGTGGATCATTGATACCGAAAAATAGAATAAATGCAAAACGTCTGTCCGTCTTCCGGATGTCTGGCTGTGAACAACGGTTAAAGAGTTCAGCCGATTTTTTCCAAACTTGATATTCCCCAATCGATCTGGTTGATGTCGCGACCTCTTGAATTTGAAACCGATAGTTCAATTTTGGGGGTTTCTTTACATGAAGCTATTGGGACATCTTCCAAATAAAAAAAATAGCATCACCCTTTTTGGTTAAATATTATTGCTGGATAGTGTGAAGAACGTTTAAGAGAATGGTCGAGGCGTCTTGTTGGTTGAAAAACCTACTTTTTGAAAAATTGGAAAAGTTCAATATTTTTCAGAGTCTTCCTAAAACTAAAATATTAAAAATAGAGATTTCCCCCTTTAATGATATATTTTCCTTAAAAAATAGATTTTGAAGTAAGGTCATGGGCAACTTTTCAAAACTTGAGTACTTTCCGCATGAAAATACGGGGAAGAAAGTATGTGCTCTTTTAGCAACACTAGTTAACATTTGTAAATTGTAATGCTTTTACCCAATCTGCACTTCCTTTTGGCTTTGGTGGAGCCGTTTTTGAGAAAATCATGATTTGGGAATGTTTAAAACTGCAAATGTTGCACGCAATATTGCTCAAAAACTAAAAAACTACATGATCTTAATGAAAGAACTGATTATGAACAACAAATTTCATTTCAAAGAAAAACTAACATCTTAAATCTTGTAGTTGTAGGAATACTGCGGAAATAATTCCAACTTTCGTTTCAGCACTACTGTAAAGTCAAAATTTGAAGTTCTTTTTCAAAATTTTTTTTGATTTTTCGAAAAACTTTATTTGCTATAATTTTAAGTTATTTAACTCACATATACAATAGTGTTTATATATTGCTGAAATGTGCATATCAATTGCGTACTTTTGATTGTGAAATTTTTGAAAATTCAGTGTTAACCGTGAAAATCGGATATAAGCCATCTTTATAAGTGTGTGTTATTCTATTCTCACAAGAAATTTAAAGAAAACATTTAGAGCCGTTTTTGAGAAAATTGTGAAATATACGGAGGGCTTCATGTAAAGTACCCCCAAATTTTAAAGAATGTTTTTCAAAATCTCAAAGCTTTGACTGGAACCAAATAGATAGGAATTTCACTTTGGGAAAAAACTACGCTTGGTTTACGAACTAGTAGTGTTCATAAACAAATAGACAGACTTTTGCCATCAATTGATTTTTCAGTTTGATTTTTTTTCTCGCAGCATAACTTACCCTATATTGTGTATATTATTCCGTACGCGGGAAAGTTAAAATTGTATATTGATAACATAATACATTTAAATATCTCTAAGTTTTAAAATTCAACGATGCGAAGTTTATGCTCGGATAAGAATAAACAGAGCGAAAAATAATCAAATGAATTTCTTCTTAGTGCATAAGAGTTTGAGAACAATATATTTGTTTCGTTAGCGCAACGTTGGGACTTAATAGGTTAAGGAAAAATCTCTGCATTAAATATTATAGTTGTAGGAAGACTCCGAGAAAAAATGCTTGAACGAAAATGTTAAACGTTTGCAATTTTTAAAAATCAGGGTTTTTAACGAACCTTCACCATTCTTCGTTGTTCATTCTATCCAACAAAAAACTTTAATCAAAAAGGATGGAGCCATTTTTTGTGTACTTATTTCTCAAGAGCATAATTATTTTCGACACATTCATAACATTGTACAGCGCAACACCGACAAATACATGCCTGCATACTTTATAACACTGGCCCTATTGTTTAAAACACTGGTTATCATCTCAAAAAGGTTTAGCTTTGAACTTATCAATATGTTTTTTGTGGCTGGCTGTCGACCAATCACATTAGTTCAGATGACGCTTCAATTAACGATCGAATTCCTTCTGACTTTACGGCGGGAAAAACCCTTGCTTGGTGCTTGCGTCACGCGTAAATGCACGTCTGACGTCTATGGCGGCGTATCTGCGTGTACGTATGTAAACAAATAAAGGGACGCGGAGACAAACATATTCCTAGTGCGATGGAAAAGAAAAAAACGAGGAGAGTGTAGACAATGCCGTTGGTAGCAGAGAGAGAGAGAGAGAGAGAGAGAGAGAGAGAGAAGAACTCATCTTTGTAAAAACAGCCCACGGGAGTTTACAGATGAGCTTATTAAATAAGCTAACCATGCTAAGTCCAAATCAACCTACAGAATGACACAGATTTTCTCGTACCAGTTAGATTTCTAATTTCTTTGGTCTGGACTAGCTTTTCTCTTTCCCCATCCTCTTGCCAGCTGCCCTCTATCGCCTCTCAATGTAATTTTTTTTAAACTAAATTTTTTGCTTTTCTAATGACCGAACTGAAATATGTCTGTACGTTACTGTAAATGCGAAATATATCTTCTTTGCAAAATTATTTTCAGTATTCAGAGAACTTTATTGGAAGTCATATTGATCCCTTCCACCCACAAATGCAATAATGCATATAAATCGTTCAAAATATACATATGAAAGTCGTTGAAAATGAGACCTGCAGCATTACCTTAAACGTCCTTCACACTATCCAACAATAAGATTTTTAATCAAAACTACATTCTTTTTTTTTTCTTCTTTTGGAAATTTGGAAAATATCTGGAGGCTTCATGCAAAGTACCACCGAAAATTAAAATATCAATTTCAAATTCAAGAAGCCGCGACATCAACCAGATCGATTTGGGAATATCAATTTTGGAGAAAATGGACTGAACGGTTTAGCCGCTAGTGTTCACAGACGGACGGGCGGGTGGACGGACAGACAGACACGTTTTGCCGCCATATTTTGTCACTATGGATCCTGTGACAAACAGAACAGAAGATTTTTTCTAAAATTCTCAGTTGAATTAATGCACATTTGGGTTGCCAGGCCCCTGTAATGAAAGCTTTTCTCACGAAAATACCCCTTTTCTTCGCGCATAATTTCGTAACTTTCTCTTTACTCCGTAGCGAGAAAGTAAAAGTAATTGGGACCGGGGGTCTCAATGTAGTTTCCTTAAACTTAATTCCTCCCCTCTTGCGGTCCCCGAGCGCTTCCAGGGTGCGAGTGAAGTGGCTGCCTGAAACGCACTGTCACCTCTGCCCGCAGCGCGGCGCTGGTGATGGCGCTGGCGGCGGCGCTCGTTCTCGCTGACGAGGCTGAGCGGGGCGTGCACCTCACGCCGCCCCCGCCCTTGGGCCGTCAGGACCGCACTTCGTCCTTCGACTGCCCACAGCCCATCTGCCCAGAGCCCGTCTGCCCGCAGCCCGTCTGCCCGCAGCCCGTGTGCCCACCTACCGCCTCCGCGAAAGAAATCTCCGATCCCCCCTGCCCCAATCTCTCCTGCCCACAGCCAGTGTGCCCAAAGCCCATGTGCCCAAAAGTGCCGCCCGCGCCGCCCTGCCCCGACCTCTCCTGCCCCGAGCCCGTTGCTTGCCCCACGCCCCCTGTGCCCCCAGGCCGACGTGCCCGCCCTGCGCGCTGCACCCCCGCGCCGCCCAGCCCCCCTGTCCTTTCTGTAGCCCGAGATTGCGCACGCCGGCCAACGTGTGAGCTGCCCGCAGGCCCGTGTTGCCAAAGGTGCCTTGCGGCGCGCCATGCGCTGCCGACGCGTCTCCTGCCCCGAGCCGAGTGCCCCACCCCATGTTGCCCCCAAGCCGGACGTTGCCTCCTTGCCAGGTGTCCCCAAAGTCGATGCCCCTTGGCGCCAGGGACTGTCCGGCTGTCCATTCCGGTCGACGTTGGAGTGCCCGCAGCCCTGTGTGCCCTACAGCTGAGCCTCGCTATTCGTTCCCTGCCCTGCCACCCTCCTGCCCGCACTGCCGGCCCTGGCCATTCTGGCCATACGTGAGCTGCCCGCGGCCCGTAGTTTTCGAAGCTTCCCCCTGCGCCCCCCTGGCCTCGACATCTTCCTGCCCCATCCTGTCTGCCCCACCCCCGTCTGCCCCCAGCCGGCGTGCCCTCCGGCCCAGTGCTCGGCGCGCGGGTCCTCGTGCCCGGATTGCCACCCGGCCAACGTGAGCTGCCCGCAGCCCGTGTGCCCGCAGCCGGTGTGCCCGCAGCCCAGCTGCCCCTCTCCCCCCGCCCCCTCCTCGGGGGAGTGCCCGGCCAAGGCGGCGTCGTGCAGCGGCTGCCGGTGGAAGGTGCTGGCCAGCTACGACCACTTCCAGGGCTTCGGCTACTACAAGGCCTACAAGACGCCCGTCAACTGGCACGAGGCCAAGGACCTTTGTGCGGGCGATGGGGCTCACTTGGGCATCATCAACAGCGAGGTCAGCTGTGCCACTCTCTCGGTCCAATAAATTTGTTACGTACTACCCGAGTTCCCCGTGCATTTATTCATCACAATATATTTTTGTCAGTAATGTCTTTAATAATTTCTGGAGTGTAATGCAAGAGCTTTCATTCTACCTCGCCCGGCCTTTCCCCTCCCCAAAAAAGGTACATTCAGTATTTAAAAAAATCAACTTTGGGGAAATAGGCTTTAAATATGCGACCCTTATAAGACCCCGGTCGATAGCCAACAATATCAGAATAATCATTTTCCAATAAAAACTTCTCTTTGAAATATTTATCGGGCTGGTGATTCGAAAAATATGGCATGTTCATTTAATGCCAATATAAATAGATCAATTTACGAGTACTTTTTGCATTTTTATTACCGCAATATATAACGTATATCCCCGTATATATATACAGTATACTAGTATTCGATAGAAAAATAATTTAAAATCTCAAATTCCTACCTGTTTGTTCCTTCAAAGTCTATAGCGTTTAAGAATCACGTTTCAATGTGTTTTGTTGCTCATGTAAATAATACGTAATTTCTAAGAGTTTCGTAGAGTAATTTCTAAAGTGAAAGAATTTATAGTGAGTGCCAGTAAATTCATATAAAACATTTAAAAACAGTTTATTTCGTAGTATTCGTTGTTCGTTAGATTCAAATTATGTAAAAAACAATTTCATTAAACAATCGCAATTTTATACAGAACCAATTGCAGATTATTCTAACTGATTTATGTGGGAAAGAAACAATTCTGTACAAATGTGCACTTAACATATTTCCAAATTATGTAATGCCATTTACTATCAAATCACCTCACGTTTCTTTACTTCAGTATTTTAGTTATATTTATTTAAAATGCCAATTGTGACCTAAATGTATAAGTATATAGCTCCAGAAATTAATAATGCAGTTCTTTAATATATGCAAATGTCGCAAATACTGTTGAACATTTTGTTACAGAAAGAAGCTCAAATATTTAAGTTACTCTACCACAAGGACGGATTGGGCGGCTGGGTGTTCGTGGGCTACCACGACTTGAACCAGGAAGGAAATCATGAAACTATCTTTGGTAAGAAAATTGTCCAGGTAACGTCAACGTAACAAACACCAAAAAACAGAAAGTATTCAATTACGGCCATTTACAAGGATATTCATTTTTAATCATAAACAACATAGATTGGGATGGCTCTGATGTATGTGTCTGGTTGGGGTGGGTGATTAAAGGCCTCCTCATTCAGATTTGTTTTACGAAGATCACGGAAACTGGTGGGGTTATATTAAATTTTGTACTAAAATTGTGGAGAATATTTTTTATAAAACTTGTTCAACAAATTTTTCTAGCGTCAATCGAGATGATAAGGCATTGCAGGATTTGTTTCGAAATTATACAGACTGGTACATTTAATAGGAAGAAAAATATTTTTTAGTAGAATTCCTGTTTTGCCTTGCGTGCACGCTTTTTTTTGCCATTCCTCTGGAGCTCTTCAGTTTGAGATGACGTGCAAGCCACGAGGCAAAACTAATTTGGATTATATGAACAACTGAAAGGCGGGAGTAAGAACGGGTGGTCAAGTAAAAATTAATTATCTTTTAAGAGGTTCACGTTGAAAATAAATTGAAGAATTACTAGTCTGTATTATAAATTCAAGTGCTTCTACAGCACGTGCTCCTAATATCCAATTCAAATTATGTTACAATAATTGATAAACATTTAATGACCTTGTTTCTATATTGCTTCGAACCGACACATGAATAACGCAATGTGATTATCATGCGTGGCAAATACATTTCATTAGTTCAATGAGATACTGCGATGTCTTGAATCACGTTGATTCAGAGTATCCGACCATAGCTCTGCGGTAGTGATATTCTCAAGACACAAGACGAGCATAAAATCAAACTTAAGTGAATAATCACTGTTTACACAGTGATACATAGGCGAATGGCAGTGATAAAATTGAATTCCTGTTAGACCACTTTAAACACGCGTGGACCTTGCTCGCAACGAATGTACTTTGGAGAAATGGAAAACACCATAGCCTGCATAACCTTACCTAGCAATTGTAGCTCGAAATGATTGTAAGAAGTTTGTGCGTCTGGGAGAAGCACTGCTGTTCTTGGGGCGCTCAATTGAAGGGTTTAACTAAACTACTGGTGCTACAGAATGGCACAGACTTCCCGTATTAGTTTTATATTCCCGTTGGTCTCGTCTACCTATTCAGACCTCCCACATACTCTTGCCAGATGCCATCTATCGCCGCCCAAACTACATTTTTTTCTTAATTTTTCGATTTCCTAATAGTAGAACGGAATATTACTTTAAGAATATTAAAGAACAGTAAGACCTTGTCCTAAACGGCAATTTTCTTTGAAAAAATTGGAGCAGTTTTTAAGAAAATGGCGTTTATGCACTGCTGTAAATTCGAAATTTAACCTCTTTTTCTACAAGTACATTAACTCACAAATTCTATGGTGTTTACAAATTTCTGGAACTGCGCATATTAACGGTGTGAAAAGTCTTTTAACAAAATTACATTTGGGTATTTTTTGGTAAACAAAAAAGTATCCCAAAATGAATTTTACGTCACATTAAAGAGTCCAATAAGTAAGAAAAGTTTGAAGAGAAAATTTGAAGCCATTCATGAGAAATATTTTTTTCCTGTAAACGAGGTCCGCTGGATAATGACTAGAATGGATGTGACTTACGATGACTTCTTGAATTCCTGACATCCTGATAGTTATATACGGTATTGGTTTTTGATGAGGATTCTTGATCCTCGCACAAACTGTAGTGGAATCTGAATTCAGATGGATCTGGTGGATTGCTATTGGAAAATTTGGCACAACTTATTTGACGAGTCTTAAAACAGTGCTGTACATACTTTAAACTGCGTATTTGTTCCTATTACAAGTGTTACTCGTTATTTGGCGACGAGTAGATTTGATTGAGATTCTCCCCTCTCATTTATGATCCGTATGTGCAAACAAGCTCCGTACGCTGATAGACTGCCGTCTGAAAATCCATGGATTTGAATTTCTGTTGTATCTTGACTCTTACGTAATCTGAGTGCTGAAAGTTAGTTCATTTTCGGCAGGTCGTTGAAACTATATTCCCATTATGTGTATAGTTATGTAGGTAGCATGTCGTCCTAGTCTTAAATATTTTTGCTTACATTTACATTGGTGCTGCTAGACCAATTGGATCATAAAAAATTGTGATAAAAAAGTGCCATTCGTACACAAATACATTTTAATTGCTGCGAACTCGCGAATTGTTTCTTAATCTTACATGAAATCTTGACATTGGCGATGTTCCACGTCAATCCTACGTTACTTACACCCTCTCCCGTGAGAGTTGTTGATAGTTGTATTTCTTTGTTTTGGTTTGGGATGACACCAATTAATGGTTGAGAATTTGAGAGCTATTTGTGCAAACGAAAACCACCTTTTTTCAAAACTTCAGTTAATTATAGATATTGATCGATTGCTTTCTCAGGTGAATTGCCTTCTGTTAGTATGGTGTCCGCTTAGAAGCAAGTTTTCATCTTTTCGTGAATTATTGCACAGCCAGACGATTTGTCATCAGCAAATTGATTAAGCACCCTAGTAGTTGGAAAGGCGAAGGTGTTGTAACATACGCCACAGTCAAGAGTTGAAATTATTGGATTGCAGCTTGAGAGTCAGTCTCCAAAATATTCTCAGGAAGGTTTCGATCAGATGAATTCATTTGAATTTGTCTATGCATCTTGATGGTGTCTGCGAAATAGTGAAACTTCCATACTCGGCAGTCCAGAAGGATTATCAGTAGTTCTGGTAGTACTACAGACTTTACTGTTATCATTGAGGCTAACTTCGATATTTTTGCTAAGGCATAGTAAGAATTTAGTAACTTGTACTCCTACGGATCTTCTATGGCACCATTACGAGGTAAGAAGAAATTCTGTATGTGTTGATTGGGAGAGTGTGCCCAAGTGCAGAAAACTTCTTCTGGAAAACGCATGACCTCAGATGACAGTTCTTCTAATTCCCGAACCGTGTTAGTTCGTCGTTTACTTGTTTATGTAACAATGAAATTGGAAATCAGGGCTCCCCTTTGTTCGTCTTCCCATGAATGTCCAACCGAACACGTATTGGTTAATGTGTGTAAGTTTCGATACGTCCATTTCCCACGAATTAATGAATGGCCTGCAATGGCTGCTCCTAATATCATATCTGCGTTGTTTGGTTGGCGAAACATTGGATTCGAGATCTAGTTCTAAGTGTAAATAACATGTGATACAGTGCGTTTATCTGTAGGCCCTACATGTTGATGTAGACAAGAAGCAATACTAGTTCTAGCAACATTGCGGAAAATGATTCTATTTTCAAACAAAGGAAGAAATTGAACTATAATATTTTACAAGACGATTGTTAAATGTTCCTAAATTTCTAGCAAAGTGAGACCATCTGATTATATCCACACGTGCAATATTGAGGATCATAAAAATTTAGCAATGTCCTCAAAATTACACGAAAATATTCTCAAAAACATTTTTTTTTTCTTTTCCCAGGTGAACCTTTAGCAAAAACCGGATACACGAAGTGGCATCCTGGCCAACCAGATAACTTTTTTGACGAGGATTGTGGAACAATAACTTCAGAAGCCTTGCTCAACGATGGCAAGTGCGACTGGAGAACTGGATTTATATGTGAAGTTTCTGAAGAAAAGGCCCTTGGGAACTAGATAGCTACTCTATGAAGCTTTTACATAAAAGTAAGGTATTTTGATGTAGCAATAAGTGCAGTGTTTCAACGAATATCTTGTAATACTTCCTAATTAGTATCAATAAATAAATAATTGTACCACAAAATAATTTTTCATATTTAGTACCCTGAGTCAGCTTTCGAAAAAACTCTTTCCTAAACGGAGTGGGGGCTAAACAATATCCAAGTAACGTGAACTACATTTGGAACCAGATAATCTGCCTTAAAAACAATACCAGCAAGGAGGCTTGCACTGCAACGACAATTCGAGGACAACGATCTACCTCGCCCAAACGAGGGTTCCCAGGCCATGCAAAAATAAGCGTTCAAGCTCGTAAATAAGTCACACGATGAGATTATCGTAGAAAAACCTTTTCACAAAAAACGTTTCGAAGTAGTGGGTGCTACTGAATGGCACAGGCTTTCTAGCGCTAGTTAGTTCCATTATCTCTTTATTCTATGCTAAATTTTAGTCTTTGCCCCACTCTTTATTCTCAACTGAAAAACATTTTTCTCGTTTCTAGATAATTTATTTTGGTCTCCTCTCAGAATCCCATAGGGTAGGATGTGAGACCCTACAATATTTCTTTTATGTTTAAACGATAGCTTTCGTTCATCCCAAATGGAAGAGCAGTTTTGTTTATTGATGACAGGAATGTTCTTTGTAAAAACAGAAACAATTAATAGTACGTTTTAATAAGTTTCAAATTGGTTTCGTAATAACAAAGTAATAGTTATCGAAGAGAAAAGGGGTTCCATTAATTTATGCATTTCAAATTGGCAATCGCATGCACCATTAAAAATGAAGAAAACGCAATTGGTTGAAACTTTCAGAAACTCTCAATTCAGTCAAAGCGCAAATGGAGTATACACAGAACTGAACTAAGCCCATGAAGTCTATTATGCTATGTATTCAGAATTCTTTTAAAACCTGTATGTCTTTTTGGAGCTTAGTGTATTTTGCAAATGTACATTTCCGCCTGAGTTGCGGAGAATATTCTGGAAAAGCTCATCATTGTTGTATCTAGACTTTAAGATTGCGGGGGGGGGGGAATTATTCGAATAATAAGGATCTGCGTGATTCCTGCCAACGTGTCTTCATTGAGCTTCCAATCTTGCCTATTTAATGTATTTGTAATTTGTATTTTTTGTCGAAACTGACTTACATAACGTTGCGAATATATTTTCATGAAATATTGTCATAACTCACATCGCATAAATCGTCATTACAATAAATCCACCTGTATGTTTCACATTGTCAGATAACATTAAACAATGAAAATCAATTCAAAAATTTGTTAGAAATAAAATATTTCCTGTTGCATAACTGTTTCTTTTTAACTGACCATCAAAAAGAAAAATGATATTAATTTTCACAATGATATATAATGCACTAGTTTACATCATAACTTAAAGACTTATTTGCATAAAAGACTTAATTGCATGTACTTCAGCTTCTGCCCCATCTCGATCAGAATTCGTCCAGTTTTCCTAGTCCAGTGAGCAATGCTGAAATAGCCTCTGGTTTTTCTCCTGGACTTAAATGTAACTTCACTCTGCGCACTTTTTGAAGTCTCCTTTCGCAAGATTTGGAAGGAGTAATGTCGGGGGTGTGAGTTACTATTTTGGTAGCAGTACTAAAAAATAAATTCTGTAGTTCGTTTACCGATGCAAATAAGGTTTCAGTAACTTCGGAGCGGAAATTCTAGATTTAGTATATTGCCAACCTCGCTTTTTTAGAGCATTTTTATTCGTCATTCAGCTATTTATGGTTAAAAAGTAGGGAAGATAATCTGGAGCTCAATCGTGTCTTCTCTCACATACAGTTTTTTACTGTTCCTTGACTAAATAAGTCGAAGCAAATCGAATCGTTTAAGACGTGAAGAAACCAGTGTATTTGAAAGCTAATTTTAAAGTGCCATAAAACGAGTCCACAGAAGACCATTCTTTACACAATAGCTATATGATTTATATTATACCCCTTAACGACGTAACTTAAACGATCATTAATGCATTTAAATTAATTTAAGGTACCAACATTTTAAAAAAATAGAAATAGTCATTCATTTTTGTAACTTTGACATGGAATTTGCAGGGAAATGTAAGCAAAACGTAATTATTAATGGTAATAATGCTTATATTACATTTTGTTTCATGTCTACTCTGTAGTTTCTTCTGGATGTAACTACTTCTTTATGTTGCAATTCACGTTCATGTTCCAAGAAGTGCTTCTATTAAAGAAGAAAGAAGAAGAAAAATTTTCATCATACTTAGAAGTTCGAAAGGCTTCTGCCAACGGATATCGCAACACATTTTGAAACTATATCGACATCAATTATTGCGCCACTGAATTTTTCATACAAAAATATTACTTTCAGCGTCTAGCAACTGTATTTTATTCAGAAGCAACATTTTTCACCATGACGTGGTTTAAAAGTGTTCTCCTATTGTTGAGGTGAGTTTTATTAAAACTATCTTCAGATGAAAACATGAATTTGTTTTTAATTACTCATGGTAGTAAGTGTATTGAGGGCAAGAATTACTGCATTTTTACTAATCTTAACTAATGCAACTGTTGAGTCCCTAGAAAACGTTCGACATGAACAGGTAAGTTCTCCTTACAGACCATAGATATATGAAAAAAAATATCCTGTCTTCTTCCATACAAAGAAAATTGGAGTGACTGCCGCTGATTTCAGAATAACTGGCTTGTCAGCTAGATCGTACTCAGCCTCTATATGGAGGAGAATTCTATCGACCATCTTATCTTGTCGGAAATTTTCGAGATTTCTCCGATTGTTTGATGGATTGATTAATGATTCCGGTCGGGTCAATTGCTAAGGCCATTAGTCTCGTAAGTGTAGTGCACGTTTGTTGTTGTCCCTCTGTATGGCAAGATCCGGAGCAGACCTGCCGGTCGGCTAGCCCCAACCACCACAGTACAACCCACCAGCGGGCCACCGGCATAAGCTCCCGTCTAGTCTCGTGTGCTAGTGTGTGTAAGGGGTGAGGAAAGATCGCGCGCAGTCCGTGGCCCGTTTCTTAGGGTACTGCTCCGGCGTTCGCATGGTGTTGATCGGAGAAACTACCGAAAAATACCGATCAGAGCAGCCGGCCATGAAAAACTACCGATCAGAGCAGAATTCTCCTCCAGACTGAACACGACTCAGCCATCGCGCTACCGCGTGGAACGGAACCCTAAGACCTCCCAGTCACAGGTCCTGCATTGACAACAGTTGATGCTCTGAGACACCTCTCCCTGTGCTTCATCCCATTAACACCAGCAATTAATAAATGACAAACCATAAATATTAATTCCTGAAATGTCTGAGGATTGATCCTGTGTGCTTCTGATTCATATCCAGTGCTTTATCCATATTACCACTATTATACGTGTGTTTATGAAAATTGCAACACGAAGAAAGAGATACATTATTAGAATGAAATTCATTCCAGAGTTTAGAATATCCCAATACAAATACAATCCAATACAAATGATTGGAATTTCAGAGCTGTGGTTGCATTTTGACCTCGAGTATTTGGTAGTGTGAGGAGCGACCACGCGCGCCGTCAGAGCCTCTAGATGTGTGGCGTGGATTCCAAGAGAGCCTAATTGTGCTAACGGGGTCACACTGCCACGCGGTTTCTATGCGTGATCACACAGCATCGACAGAGGCTGCAGGAGGGCCAGAACGCACGAGGTGCCGACCGATCATATCCCAGACATGTTCGCTGGGCGACATGTCAGGCGAGAGCGCGGGCCAGGGAAGCAGTGGCAATCGCCGATCTTCGTACACAGCTTGCACGTTCCTCGCCACGTGCGATCGGGAATTGGGCTGAAATATGGCATGTAGCAGTAACGCAGAAGCTCGAGCTCCAAAACCTCCCTGATGAAGCGGTTGCTGTTCAGATGGCCCTCAATTCGTATGAGGCCAGATCGCACGTTGTAGGCAAAATGGCGCCTCAAACTATCACAGGGCGTTTGTTCGCTATGGCACGGAACAAGTCTTCACAGTACCACAAATAGAAGCGAGACCCGTCCGTTTTGCCTCTCAGCACACCAGTGATGATGTTCACGTGTCTCAACCGTCGGTGGTTTCTGGTCAACGGAATCCGTCGAAGGGCCACAGCCCAACCCTCAACAGACGGCATCGAAGCTGCCACGGCACCCGTTGCAGGTCTTCAATGTCTAGCCAACCCTGGACGACGCCGTTCTGTCTGTTACGGTCATGCATATAAGATGGCGGTCATCTCACGCTGTGGTCACATTGTGTGGTCCAGTACCAGACCGTCCTCTATCCACTGGTTCCACACACGCATCACTTTCGAAGCAGCGCGCCCTGTTCGAGCCACAATGTCACGGTACGACAAACCCGCCTTTTGGAGACCGATCATTCTGCTGTAGTTGTTGTAGAAGTATTAGTAGTAGTAATGCTGTTAGAAAATGTGTGAAAAATGCGGTTCTGTAGCAGCATATTTGGTTGTTCTGAAATGTGAAAACTGAAGCTTCTTTCATCCTCGTAGTATGACGTCAGGTGTCATAAGCAATGACACACTGAGATAAATTACTCGTAATATCGCGTACAAAATTGGGAATTAACATAATCAAATGTTTGCATTTTCAGACAAAATCGACTGTTTTTCGCCTTTTTAGTACTTGTTCAGTCTTTAAGTGTTTAACGTAATAATGGATACCTCTCACATGGTCAGAAGCTACATACTTTTTCGTATTATGCGTATATTCGAAATTGGTAAGATAGATCATTTTAAGTTTTCTTGTGTTTATGTGTAATGTCTTTAAAGGCTGTAATGTCTTTAAAGGGTGATGTATGTATTTATTGTTCAGCCACCAGGTTTGAAAAACCCTAGCTACAAAAATAATAAATATGTATGTATATTCAATTTTACACTATCATTATCGTTACAAGTAATACGATAAAATATGTGCAGCATAATCGAATTAGTTTTACCATAAGAATAACCCTGTGAAAATGACGACCGCCTGAGCTGTTGTCCCCGCGTGGGGGCAGCGCCTGTGTGCGGGAAGTCCTAGAGGTGGAGTGTGTTCAGTCGATGCGCGCGCAATCCGCATCGGGCGCTTGTCGCCAGCAGGGTAGGGAAACTTGGCGGTCAAAACGGGGTAATGATTTTTGCGCCATCTACAACAGTTCCG